CCGGCCCACTCCCCGCCGCCGCCGGCCTCGGGCTGCCCCTGCGCGCCCCCTCCAGATCCGGCCCGCGGCTCCCCTGCCGGCCCCCCCAGCCCCACGCTCAAGTCCACAAGTCCGCCCGCTTCCTGCGCCCGCCGCGGCCCTTCCCGGGGCGCCGCCGCCGCCGCCTGCTGTGCGAGGCAGTACGGCCCGCGCCCGGGGGTTGCGGGGTGCCGGTAGGGGCGCCCCGTGCCCTCCCCCGGTCCCTCTTTCAGTCCCCGAAAAGGGTGGGTGGGTGGTCGCCTGAGCGAAGTTTCCAGCACTGGATTCCTGCGAAATTGCGACGGCTCACCAGCGCCTGTGTTTTGCTGTTTCTCCCCCTTTTTCCTGCTCCCTGTCTCTTCCCTCCCCTTTCCCCCACTCCTCACTCCTCCGAAGGCCAAAAAGACAAGCGAAACCTGCCGCAGACGAAGGCTTTTGGGATTGTAGCGTCTGCACCTTCAGAAACAGCGCTGAAGCCTTTAAATGCAGCATCTGCGATGTGAGGAAAGGCACCTCCACCAGGTACTTGAGGATCTGTGTGAGCTTTTGTTGAAGGACTTTTTTTTTTTTTTTCTTAAGGTGGGAGATAGGGTAGAGAGCTGTACTTGCTGCCCTCTTTCCAACTTGTTGATTACAGCTTTTTTGCATTTGGGGGGTGGGTAATGTGTGGTTTTGGTTGTGTGTATTTCGTGTTGGGTGCAAAGCTTCCTATTCACTGAATGATTTATGGGAGGGAATTTTTCCAGGTTTTCGTCTTATTTCAAACAGACTGGATTTATTTGACACTTGTATCCATTGGCTTATTGGTATTGGCTCAAAAAGAGAGGAAGCAGTGCTTTTGCTATGCATTGTAGGACTTTAGACCTTTTATTTTTGCCATGTGTAGAATGTTTTTAATTTGCCTGTCCTGAATTTTTTTTTTTTTTTTCCTTTTCCGAGAGATTTAACGGTGAATGTACAGTTAGGCTGGTTATTGTGCTTTTCCTGTCTTGAGCTGCAAATGTCTGTTATTTCTCGCCCTGTGAAAAGAAATGTTGGGGTTTGATAAAGTAGTATTTGGAAAGCTGAGCTGTCAATTTGTGTGTTTTCTGATTAGCTTATGCAGAGTGGTGATGGAAGACGATTTTGCAAAATGGTGAAAGGAATATATTGAAGTTTGCATGTAAAGCTTTATTATAATGAAAAGAATGTTGAAAGAATTCCTTTTCGTTTTTTGTGAAGGTAGTAAATCGCATCTGGTATCAAAATGAGTGGAAATATTTCACTTTTAACGTTCAGATATATTTGGATAAAATGTCAAAGTTGATTTTGTAGTTTTCTGGTCATTTTTTAAATCGTATCTGGAATTTGGTTCAGGGGATGTTAGAGTTTGAAGTTAAACTGTTCTTGATGTCGTTTAATGGGAGGGCACTGGGGGATGTGTGTGTGAAGGCCAGAGAGGAGTTGAGAGTCTAGTGAATCCTTGAAGACTTAAGTCGATTGCCAGAAGTCTCATTTCATCAGGTACTTATTTTTGAGTTGGTAGTGTTCCAATATGACTGTGTGGTAGTTAGAAAACTGGATAAGGTCCTTGGACTGAATGAGTGTGTCCCGTTAGGGTTTTCTTGCTTTATTTATACCTGGGAATTACCTAGGATATCGGGTAATCTGAAGAATATAATTCTGGGATGAATTGGTGCAATTACTGGGAGAGCAGTTCTGTGACTTCCACTAACTCTTGAAGTGATGAGTGCTTTGAATAAAAGTATTCAAGTACTAGAAATATTTTTTCAGAAGTTTTTATAGCAAATTCATGTCAAGTTTTGTAGAACAAGAACTACATACCATAGAACAGATTTAGTTAAAATAAAAAGCACTTATTGGGAGCTTAATAGATTTTGCTTTGTTCTATGAAACAGGGAATTCCATCAAATGGGATGAAAGTTTAGAAATGTATTTGTTATTTAAAGCAATAGTGATTGTATTTTATTTATGAGTAATGTTTTTTTACACGTAGAATCCCTCAGAGGCCAAACCTCTTTATTGTGGTTTTGCTTTGAGTGTTACCGTAGATGATGTTCAAGTGACTAGGAAACTCCTAAGAACTTGAGAACTTTACTGGTGAAGAGCAAAAACCAAATTCAGGTTTACATCTGATGTATTGCTGGGAATAATTATCTTATAATGAAATGCGTTTCAGTTTCTTGGTGTATTAAAAAAAATCTTATCAAACTTTCTGAAAGCCCGTGGGAGGTTTGATTTTAAAAGTAATAGAAATGTTTAGTTTTTTCAGGGTTACAGATGATGACAGTGAGATTCAGTTTTTTTAAACAAATACATTGAATAATTAAAGATGAAATATTTTAGGAATAGGACAGTCCCTTCTAACCTTTACGGGTTTTTGTGTAATTTTTTGAGGTCTCTTGTTGAGTAGGATTTGAACACAGCTTTCCGAGATGTGAGGACTTGAACTCCTAACAAGTCACGTATGATACCCTTGCATAGCCAAAGTGTGTTTCATCTTGGGTACTGTCAATATTTTGGTGTTTTAGATCTATTCTTGAAGTCGTCATTAATTGGAAGGTGAATGACATTTTGGCTTTCTCATGTTGTGAATGGATTTCATGTAGACAGGTGAATTTCACAGCTCTTCATCCAGGTTTACCCAGTCTAGTAGCTGTTGGTTAATTTCTCAGTGCTAGTACTCCTTATTGCTGTGTGATTTTCCTGTGCCTTTTTCTTGAAATTTTCTTGGTACCTCAAAGGTTTAATACTTTTTGCCTTGCATTGTTTTAATCACACTTGGTATTGATGACAGTAGAAAATTGTTGGGTTTTGGATGCTGAGTAATAGGCAGAAATTGATTTTAGAATAACTTAAATAATCAAAAAGGGCTTTGTAAACCTGTTGACTGGTATAGAAATCAGGTTTTACTGCTCTGGGCTGGTGTTTCTTACTCGAATAGTAGTAACAGCCTATCTGGTGGCCTAGCCACTGGTCATTTTGGAGTTCATCATTTTTGTCGCTGTCACCATCATCTAGTCAACCATTGAAGTCAGATTTTAATTAGTAGGTCCAGTAGGACACAGAAGTGCATTTACCCTTTGAGATAGAATTGGTGTTACTCAATTTGATGAGGAAAATATTGACTCTCATCCAAAGAACATTTATTAAGTTCCTAGGAGGTGAAAAATACTGGTCAAGACATTGGTAGGGAGCATGGGTTGGTTAGGCATGTACAGGGATGATCAGAATCCAGGTTATAAAGACTGTAAGAGTGGTGTAAATAATGCTATGGGAGATTGGAGCAGTCTGACTTGGGGAATCAATTAGAAGGATTCCTCCTCCGCCTCCCCATTTCTTTGGGCAAGGAGAATTGATTTCTACAAAATCACCTGCCACCTCTTCATTGTTATTGCCATGTGTACCGGATATCTTGAATTCTGCAGGTATATTCATGAGAGTAATTCATAAGGTCTTCTTCCTATTGGAGCAGCATAGAGCAGAATGAAGGAGGACCAGATTGCTCCTAAGGAACGTGTTAAGGGAAGGAGGAGATGCTTACTAGGCTGCTTGGAAGTTCAGCGGGCAGTAGAGATCTATATTTTGG